CCCCTCTGAGCACACAAGTCTTTGGGGTACATTCCAGATCCAAACCATAATAATATACATAATATAAAATTTACCCATTTTAATGATTTTTGAGTATGCAATTTAGGGATATTAAGTGCCTTCAGTACTACAACAATCATCTTACCACTATCAGTTTCCAGAACTTTTTCATCACCTCAAGCGGAAACTCTACTTGTTCATCACTTCCCCTCCTCCACCCTCCTTCCACCGGTAGCCACAATTCTACTTTCTGTCTCTATGAATTTGCCTTTTCTAATACCTTATATAAGTTAGTCCTACAATACTACAATACATGTTTTTTTGTTTTTTTGGTTTTTTTGGTCTAGCTTTCTTAGTTCACTTAGAGCGTTTTTGCAGTACATCTGTTTGTAGCTATATAAGAATTTATAGGCTAAGGGCTGGGGCTGGTGTTCAGTGGTAGAGCGCTTGCCTAGCACATGTGAGGCATGGGTTTGATTCTCAGCACTACGAATAATAAATAAATAAAATAAAGGTTCATTAACAACTCATATATATATGCATTTACATATATATATTTAAGAATATAGAATTTACGGGCTAAGAATTTTCAAAAATTTCATTCTTTTTAAAAGATGAATAATATTCCATTTTGTATGTACCACATTTTGCTATTGCCCTCATCTGTTAATGGACTTTGTTTTTGCCTTTGGGCTATAGCAAATGATACTGCTGTGAACATGGGTGTACAAGTATCTATTTGAGTCCCCACTTTTAATTCTTTGGGGATATATAGCCCAAAGTAGAGTTGATGAGTCACATAATAGTACTGTATTTGACTTGGTAAGGAAAAGCCAATTGTTTTGTACAGTGGCTGTGCCATGCGACATTTCCACAAGCAATGCACAAGAGTTTCGATTTTTCCATATCCCTGACTATACTTACTATCATCTGTTGGGGGTGGTAATCGTATCCATCATACTGTGCGGTGTCTCCCTGTGGTTTTGATTTGCATTTCCAATGCATAGTTGACATTGAGCATTTTTTTTCATGTGCTAATAGCCACTTGTTTGTCTTTGGAGAAATGTCTGTAAGTCTTTTGCATAGGGACTTTTGCATTGGATTCTTTGCTTTTTTATTACCGAGTTGTAGAAATTCTTCGTATATTCTAGATATTAATTGTTTATAAATACATGATTTGCAAGTATTTTCTTCCATTCCATGGGTTGCCTTTTCAGTTTCCTTATAGTATCTTTGGATGAACAAGAGAACAGGGTGTAATTTTAAGAAAGGAATTGATATTTTCTCTAGAGGGTGGGTTGAGCGGGACAGGGTCAAGGGTCAGGGAGACAGGTAAAACCATCACAACATCCAGGCAAGTGGTGAGGGGGTCTGAGCTGGACCAGAAAATAAATGGAAAGGAAACCTTACTCCGGAGGTTCAAACACAGAGAATTATGGAGAATAAAGGGGCAGAAGAAGGAGGATGTGTTGGGCAACTTCAATACTCAGCAAGAGATAATGAGAACCTGACCTGAGGGAGCAAGAGTGAGAGGAGGAAAGAGGAACACATTTGACAAGAGTGAGTCCTAACTGATCCGATAGGTGTGGGGAAGGGAGAAGTGATTGATGATTCCAAGCTTGGGCAACCCTGTAAAATATTGCTTTAATTTACAGTTAACAACCTACATTAAATTAGTCTTTGACACAGACTAGACTAGAGGTGTCAACTCCTGTAGCAGGATGATGTACTTGAGCCTGCCAGGAATCCTCCCTCCAACCCTCACTTTCCACTAGAATCAGTTCTTATAAAAGCATCGTCTGTGATTTATCACTGCTGGCAATACCACTCGCAAATCCTTTTAGGAAGGGCATGGGATAATTAATAAATGTTTTAAAAAAGGGAGGAAGGTCCTTGCTTAGCATCTGGACTGCCATCTTAAATGACAGCTGCCACTTTCCCGCCTAAAGGTAGTTCTGAGAAAGGCTCACCACTCCCTCAAACCAACCCCAACCTTAACTTCCACATGAGGATCCACCCGGCTCTAATCCCTGAGCCTGCCCAATAAAAGTACCGACTGAAAAGTCAAGGCTCGTCCTCGGAGATTAAAATGCACACACAGACAGCAGTGACAAAGGTGAAGCACTTTATTGCAAGCTGCTGCTAGCTTAGATAGGAAATGAAAGTCAGTTATCCTAAAACAGGAACCCCCTGGGACCAATCATAGTAATGGTCAGGTCATCATCTGTGGTGCATGAGATTCATGGGGGTCACGAGCTGTTCACAAGCCCAGGTGGGTGAACCAACTGGAAAATTTTTAAAACAACCTGTTATCCACCCATTGGCAATTTGCCCGCCGCCATGTTACATTCCTGGACCCATTATTAGAGAAAACCCAGGGAATCCCCAGGGAGACTCCCAACACCGACCCCAAGCCTGTTTTGCCTCTCTCTGTCTATGGAGAGCTGTGCCTTTATTTGTCAGCTCTGACACATAAACTCTTGTGTGTATCTCTGCCTGGTCTCCATCTTTCATTTCTCATTCACCCGTCACCTGGTTCCTCACTTTTCTTTCAGAGAGAAAATAGTGAGAGATCCAGAGAAGGCTGGGGCAGCCCATCTGGGTACAATGAAGGAGGCGAGGTGGGCGGAAGCAGCCTAGGAGGCTGAGGAGCCGAAGGAAGGTTCAGTACATGGCAGGAGAGACTTGGGGGTGGGCAGGAGGAGGACTCAGGAGTAGGTCTCCCTCAGCACACCAGATGCCAATGAGGGCCTCTGCACTACCAACCATGGTTTTCTGAGTGCAGCCCCTGGGCCTGGGTCACTTGCCTTGGGCCTAGCTGGAGGTCTGCAAGCACATTCCCACAGCTGCCTCAGGAGCCATCCCTGGTATCTAACAGGATGATTAGTTCATCTAGAACAAGCACGGGCAGCATATTCCTTGCAAGACTCAAAGACTTAAAATAGCCACTCCTTTCTCTCATGTACTCAAGGACAAAAGACCAGCCCCAAAGCATATTAATTACAGTATAAATTGTAGTTGCTGAATGAGCTTGCAGTGAGCAAAAATGGGGGTTTGAACTAAAAATCTTAAAGGTCACTTTGAATTCCAGTAGCTAGACTTTTCTAATTGCTTTCAGGGAAAGAATCTTAAAGGAGTGGACTCCTTTTTCAATAACCTTTTTCTCTGACTACAGAGTAAAATGTGCACTTTTTAGAAACTTTGAAAAATGAGGAAAATACATATTTTTAAAAGTGATTACTCCAAATCCTACCACACTGAAATTGCCATTATTAATATTTCATTTTTTTCAAAGCACCAAGTTTATATCTTATTTTATTTATGATCATTCTACATATACAATTTTCATGCTCTTTTATAGTATAATGTATCATAAATATTTTCCCATATCATTACAAACTCCATATCATAATATGTATTAGTGAAGATCTTTGATTATGCCTATGGTAAATTCCTACAGGGCTACTAATTGCTAGAGCAAAGGACATAGAACTCTAATGCTTTGGGGTTTTTTTCTTGCAGACCTTGGATTTGAATCCAGGGGTACTCTACCACTGAGCTGCATTCTCAGGCCTTTCTATTTTTTATTTTGAGACAGAATCTCACTGATTTGCATAGAGTCTCACTAAATTGCTGAAGCTGGCTTTGAACTTGCAATCCTCCTGCTTCAGCCTCCCAAGTCTCTGGGATGACACGCAGGTGCCACCGCACCTGGCTCCTGTATTTAACTTTGTAAGGAAACATTAACTGTTCTGGGCGGTTTCTATTTTGCCAAGTACAGTGGCTCTCAATCACCATGAACTACTGAGTGGTACATTGCAAAATATATTTGTGACTACTAAGATATTTAAATTTGTGGATGATATATAATTTTGTCAGTTAGAGCATTTTTGATGTCTCAGACACAACATCATCCCCCCGTATAACCATTTGTCACAATGGGGAAGATTGATGGGAACTATGTGAGGTCACATCAGTGCCTGCTTGAGGCTTCTAAGGTTCCTTTGCGTTTGGGTCCAGGAGGCCTGGCCTTTCTACAGTCTCTCTTCTTGAATTTTCAAAAAAGTCTCTGCTTCCCATGATGCTTCAGAGAATAATTACAGTAATTCTTGATCTCTCTGACTCAAGCTAGTATGATTAAGCCTTTATTCCTTACAATTAAAAAAAACACACACACACAAAACCTAATTGCAACACCAGGCACATCCTTCAGGACTGAAAGATACCAGGCTCTATCAGATAAGTAGCCTGCGGAGGTGGACATGGAACTCAAAGTGGACGTCTCAGAGAGGCAGGCAGCCCGGGCAGAGTGGGAACACCTCACCAGGCAGCAGCCCATAGAAGGGGCCGTGGGGTGACCCAAGCTTGGCTGGGCTGAGGCCTCTCTTCAACAGTCCCCCCACAGCGGCTGAGTCTGGAGCTCCAGTGGGAGCTGCATCCTGACCTTTGCTGTTGGTGCCCTTGGTAAACTCCACTCCCTCCACACTGGCTGCTTCGGCTCCAGCTTCTCCAGCGCCTGTCACAGTGAGATTCTACTGCAACTCCTTTCTCTTGTTCCTGAGCTCTTTCTTTTGCAAGTAATGAATGGAAGATTGTCCCCCTACCACAACTTCGCCGCCCCCCAAAGAGTCAGCTTCAATGGAAGAGAGTATCTAACAAGAATTTTTTATTTTTCTGGAATGTAGTAGCCCCTCAGTTGAGTTTCTGAGATGACAGAATTCCCCCTGTTGTTCCAATTCCTTTGAGCGTGGATGTCACAGGAGCATGAGGGAATTAGGTCCTTGTGCTCCAATTACTAGCATGAATTAAAAATTTCTTCTCCCTTTTTTTTTTCTCATGTAATAACTAAGAAGTTTTAATTTTTAAATAATACCTCCTTATTGAATCTGCTCAAGTAATCATGGAGAGAAGCAATGAATGGGGATCGATTGATAGAAAACCAGGACATTCAATAGCTGAAAAGCATGAGTCAACATAAACCTTGGATACTCTCAGAATAGTAGGGACCATATGATTTCTTTCTTTATTTTTTGCTCCACACTTTTCTCCATACTTTCTTTATTCTCTCTCTTTTCCCTTATAGTCAGTTCATATCAGGATACCCCATAGGTGACGTCAGAAATAAGTAACTCATCCAATATTCACATTTGGAGCCCTACAACTTTGCTTTGAGCAAAGGATTGTAGGAGATCCCAAGGATAGCCAAAGGGCTGGCTCTCCCAACTGCCATTGTAAAACTAGAAGCACAGCTGGATGTAGCTCATGGTACTATGTACTCTTATCATAGGCAAGACCTTGGGTCTGACTGTCAGGATCATTAAATAAATAAATAAACAAATAAATAAAATTTATAAGCAGACTTAAAAAGACAAATACATGAAAATCCACACTCAATATGATTAATGTTATGGTTTGGATATGAGGTATCCTCCAAACACTCCTGTTAAGGCAAAAATATTGGTTTGGATATTAGGTGTTCCCAAAAACTCACATGTGAGCTGATGCAAGAAGGTTTGGAGGTGAAATGGTTGAGTTATGAGAGTCTTAACCTAATCAATGCATTATCCCTTAATAGGGGTTAACTGAATGGTAACTCTAGGCAGGTAGGGTATGGCTGGAGAAGGTGGGTCATTGGGGGGTATTATTGGGGGGTATATATTTTGTCTGTGGTGAGGCCATGTGTCTGTGTATCTGTCTCTCTGTCCATTTCCTGGTGGGTGTGTCCTTAGCTGCTTTCCTCTGGTACACTTTTCCTCCAGGATGTTCTGCAGCATCTCAAGCCCAGAGCAATGGTTTAGGCCATCTGTGGACTGAGACCTCTGAAGCCTGAGCCTCAAAGAAACTTTGCCTCCTCTAAGTTTGTTCTTGTTGGGTGTTTTGGTCACAGCTTTACTCAAAAGCTGACTCAATTAGTCATTAAATAAATGCAAATTACAGTGAGATAGGGTTTCACATCCACCAGGACAGTTGGAATAAAACAGACAACGAAAGTGTCTGTGAGGATGTGACGAAATTGAAACCCTCCTGTGAATTAGGTAATGGTGATGACTGTATAGTCTGCTAAAAAACCACTGATTTGTACAATTTATGAAACGCACAATCTGCTTTGTATTCCTCAGAATCGGTTAACTACTATAAAAAATAAACTAAGTTTAACTATTTTAAAAAATACCTCAAAATTTCACAAGGTGAGAGAGGAGATGCTCAATTTCAACAAGGAAGATTTTAGAAAGTTTCTCAGGACAAACAGGATTGAAACCAGAACCTAAAGAGCATGGGTTATTGTGATAAAAACCATTCACAGAGTGTTTATGACTTTTCTGTGAATGTGCAGAACACAAGTCCTTTTTCTAATTCTCCATAGACATAGTATGATCTCTTCATTGCAGAGGAGGAACCCAAGGCTCAGAGAGGTCCAGGGTCCAGTGAGTGGCAGGGAAAGAGCAGGATTGTTTGAGAGGCAGCTCTTGAAATGTGTCGGGTTCGAGTTGTCTTCATGGAGGAGATAACATGTGCAAGGGCAGCAGATGGGTGAGACCCTGCAGGTTGGCTGGGTGTTGGGACCATCCCTCCAGCCAGCGTTTAGAACTGGGCGGGGATCAGTATGAACGGATAGGCAGGGGTGACACGGAGGGAGGTGTTGTGTGCATGGTGGAGAATTTTAGATTTCATTCTGTACTTTTCCAGAGCCAGAGCCTATGAAGCCAGAACAAGATATCTGTGCTTTGGAGAAAGGACTTCAACAACAAGAATGATGTGAGCCCACGGAGTCTGATGCCGACACAACTGGTTGAGTCCAGGAGAGAGGGGCTGAGCCTGGGTGGGTGCTGCAGAACTAAACAACAAGGAGAGAAGAAACTATAAAACCAATGTCTCAAATGGCTTAAAGCGTTTCCCCCTCCCCTTGCCCCTCCCCCTCCCCCTGCTCACAGGTGCTAGGCAAGCGCTCTACCACTGACCCCCTGCAACCCCAGCCCTGGAAACGCTCTGTCTTGTCCCAGGCCTGCGGCCACCTTTGCTCTGTGATCTACCTCCAGGAAGTCTTCTGTCTGGAAGGGGCAAGGGGAAACTTCTGATTAGCTAGCAGGTGGCATGGTCCAGGATCGGGAACTCTTTGTAGAAGGTGCAAAGCGTATTGATGGTGTATACCATTCAGCAGACTCCAGACATAAATCTGTTCTTTTCTTTGCCCAGAATCATGACATCTGGGATGAACCTCGGTGTGGTGTTGGAGTTCAGTGCCAGGCCTAAGATCAGACTCCAGCTCTGTCCCTTGTTAGTTAAGCAGCCTTGGCTTTGGCTTATTAAGCTTTGTGTTTTCCATCTAGAAAATAAAGATGAGAGCAATGATACCTTCATGGCATTGTTGAGTAGCTTAAGTAAATTAAAACATGCAGGAGAGTTTTAAAATTTTCCTAACTGTCATGGTTTAGATATGAGGTGTCCCCCTAAAGCTCATGTGTGTGTCAATGCAAAAGGGGTTGGAGGTGAAATGATTGGGTTATGAGAGCCTTAACCTAATCCGTGTGTTAATCTGCTGATAGGGATTAACCAGACGGTGACTGCAGGCAGATAGCGGGTAGCTGGAGGAGGTGGGGGGTTGGGGGCGTGGCTTTGGAGTTTATATTTTCTCCTTATTGAGCAAAATTCTCTCTGCTTCTTGTTGCCATGTTCCCAGATGCTTTCCTCTGGCCCACCTTTCCACCACAACATTCTGCCTCACCTCGAGCCCCACAGAGTGGATTTGGCTTTCTTTGGGCTGAGACCTCTGAAACCATGAGCCCCCCAAAAAACTTCCCCTCCTCTAAGATTGTTCTTGTCGGGTCTTTTGGTCACAGCAGTGAAAAAGCTGACTAAAACATTCATATACGCCAACATCAAGAAGCTGTTTGAAACTCTTGTTTTGGAATCTCCCAGATCCTTTTAGAATACCGTCTAAGAACAATGTTTGGCTTATATCATTATGGAAGCAATATTTTCCATTCGTTCTTCAAAGATTGTCATCAATAATTGCATCTGAAATCAGTCCATGCCATGAGAACCAGCGCAGGTTTTGAAAACCATGGTGCAATCAAGGCTAATGACGGACTGGCTGTCTTGCAGGTTGCTGTTGGCATGGCGGCGATCGCTGTGTGTTTATCTTCTCACTCTGTGAAAGAGTAGGAAGGCAGGGCATTTTCAAAGAAGTAAAGCCGAGATGGAAATTAAAAATATTGTTTTTTTTTTTTCCTGTGTTGACACTCTTTCTTCTCCAATTTATTTCTATTTCTTCTGTTAGCCGCATTCTTATGGCTGTGTCATAGTGATTGATTGAAGCTTCTGGGTGTTATTATTTGCTATCATCACTAAGAGGATCGCCCATCGTGGCCACTTAATGGACTGATCCCTCAACCCATGAGATCACACTGAACCTGAGTCCTGTGGGAATGGCAAGGCCACTCAGGGAGACCAGTGTGCCACTGAGCCTGGCTGGCCACGCATTTCTAATGAGCTTTCTGTGGAAAGTACAAACGTCCAAATGCTTCCCAGCAGCCTGCTGTGTCCAGAGCAAATGAACTGGAGACGGTGTCAGGACAGTACCATAAGCAGGTATCAGTGTGGACAGAGGACAATTATACCCACAGAGGTGGCGCTGGTGGTGTGACCTGGGAGAAAAGGGCTCTGTTCTGGAAATTCAATTCCCAATATCTTGGCAAAGCAAAGATCATGAAACAAAAGGGGGAGCAAACAGCAAAATAGGGTCTGAATTCCCCCTCCCTCTGCCTCATTCTTCTCTTCCATCCGTGGCTGCGTCTGGGTCCCTGATTATGGGCTCCTATTACTCCTCCCCTCAAGAGTAAGTGCTCCCTGCTTTCTTCTGTCAATCCAACTTTTGAAAATGAGATAAAAGAAAACATCAGATTTTTTGCTCCTGTGACAAAATACCTAAGAAAATCAACTTAAAGGAGGAAAGATTCATTTTGGCCACATAGTTTCAGAGATTTCAGTTCAGGTTTGGCCAGCTCCATTGCTTTGGGCTTGAGATGAGGCAGAGCATCATGATGAGGAAGATTTGCTCATCTTATGACAGCCAGAAGCCGACAGAGAGAGATAGGAAGAGACCTGGGACAAGATATGGTCCCCAAAGACGTGCTCCCAGGGACCTACTCTGTTCAAGTAGATCCCACCTCCTACAGTTTCTACCAACTCCCAATAGCCCGTCTAGCTATGAATCCATCACTAGATTAGTCTATTGATGGTCTTAGACCCCTCGTGATCCAGCCACTTCCCAAAGGCCTCACTCTGAACACAGCTGCATTGGGGATCAAATCTTCAACACAGGAGCCTTTGGGGGACATTTCAGATCCAAACCATAATATCAAGGAAAAAAATAAATAGATGGTTGGGTGCAGAGGCACACACCTGTAACCCCAGCAACTTGGGAGGCTGAGGCAGGAAGACCAGGAGTTCAAAACCAGTCTCAGCAATGGCGAGGCACTAAGCAACTCAGTGAGAACCTGTCTCTAAATAAAATACAAAATAGGGCTGGGGATGTGGCTCAGTGGTTGAGTGCCCCTGAGTTCAATCTCTGGTAAACCACCCCCCTCCAAAAATAGAAATAAAAAGCTGTAATATTCAGAACTAGAAAAGCAAGTTACGGGGCTGGGATTGTGGCTCAGCAGTAGAGCGCTCCCCTAGCATGTGCGGGGCCTGGGTTCAATCCTCAGCACCACATAAAAATAGAGGTATTGTGTTGTATCCACCTAAACCTCAAAAATAAATATTAAAAAAAAAGAAAAGCAAGTTACTCAGAGGAATTTACACATCATTGAAATACCAATTAGAACCATTAGCAAGATGTTAGCACTGACTTTGAACTCTGTTTAGGTTTAGCCCTGAACCATTCAGAAGGAGATGGGTGTCATCATTATAATCAAATACACAAACAGTTCCCACTTCATAGGTATTTATCAGATATATTGGACCTGTGTGTGTCTTGTAGTTATCCCAAAGGAAGATTTAAACACACACACACACACACACACACACACACACACACACACACACACACACACACACTCCAGTCTCAAGCCTTTAGCTAGGTTGGATTTCCCTTTAAAGAATTTTGACTGGGTGTGGTGGTACGTGCCTATAATCCCAGAGATTTGGGAGGCTGAGGCAGGAGGATCAAAAGTTTGAGGCCAGCCTCAGCAACTCAGGGAGACCCTCAGCAACTTAGTGAGACCCTGCTTCAAAATTTAAGAAAGGGCTGGGGCTGTAGCTCAGCAGTAAAAACCCCTAGGTTGGATCCCCAGTACTAAAAACAGAGTTTAAGAGTTTAAACATGGCCTTGATGGATAAATAAAACGAAGGCAGAAAAGCAAAGAAGACTGAAAAGAAAATATGTTTGTTAATAGTTAAAATGTTGGCATCTGATTAATAAGAATCAACCAGTTGGCTTTGTGCTGATTCCCCCTCTCACTGTGGGCCTCCATTTCCACACCTGCACAGGAGTGTTGATGGCATGAGCGTCTGTCTGACTGTGATGCTGGGAAGACAGTGAGTTGGTCCACACGTGCTATGAATGACCCAGAGCCATCCCTGACGCAGCATGGAGCAAAAACGAACAGGGCACATTCCGGGTATCTTAGGATCACAGGTGTGCATTACCCTGCCAAAGCCACTTTTAATTTCATTATTCAGAAAAATTAACCGTATTGGAAAACCTCTTAAAAATAAACCAGGCAAAATGAATTCATTTAGATTTATATGGGAAGCTCTAGGAGAGCAGTCTATTCCTTTTAGTACCTTTCTTCAATAAACCTCTGTTTTCCTTGGTTTCCCTTTTATAGACAAAGGTAACGGGTACCGCCAGTGTCTTAGGCAGCTCAGGCTCCAGTCACAGAACAGCACAGACTGTGTCACTTGAATGATAGAAGCTTATTTTTCTCCGCTGTGGAAGTCCAAGGTCATGGTGCCAAGCTGGTCAGATTTTGAGGGGGACCCTCTCCTAGGCTGAGATGGCTGTCTTCCTGCCAAGTTCTCACATAGGGAACGGGAGGGAGAAACTCTCTGGCTCTTCTCAGGACACCAGTCACATCAGGAAGACTCCATCTTCAAGACCTCATCTAAATCCAATCATCTCCCAAAGGTCTGACCTCCTAATACCATCACATTGGGGGTTAGGCCTTCAATGGATGAATTTGGGGGAGAAAAGAAAAAGAATGAAAAAAAAATAAAAGAAAAAAATGAAACACATATGCTATTCAGTCCATAATACATTATACTTAAGCTGGGAGTGGTGGCGCATGCCTGTAATCCCAGCAGCTCAGGAGGCTGAGGCAGGAGGATTCCAAGTTTAAAGCCAGCCTCAGCAAATTAGTGAGGCACTTAGCAACTCAGTGAGACCCTCTCTCTAAAATATGAAAAAAGGATGGGGATGTGGTACAGAGGTTGAGCACCCCTGGGTTCAATCCACAGTACCAAACAAACAAACAAACAAAAAAAACCCCAATTATACTTAAAAATAAGAAGCAGGGAGCCAGGCCTGGTGCCACACTCCTGTAATCCCAGCAGGTCAGGAGTCTGAGGCAGGAGGATCACAAGTTCAAAGCCAGCTTCAGCAACTAGGCCCTAAGTGACATAGTTAGCAAGAACCTGTCTCAAAACAAAAAATAAAATTAAAAAGGCTGGGGATGTGGCTCAATGGTTGAGCATCCCTGGGTTCAATTCTTGGTACCAAAAAAAAAAAAAAAAGAAAGAAAGAAAGAAAGAAAGAAAATAAACACACAGGGCCAGGTGTATAGCTCAGCCATATAGTTCTTGCCTAGCACATACAGGGTCCTAGGTTCCATTTCACTACTGAAAATGGAAAAAAAAAAAAAAGAAAAAGAAAAGAAAAAAATGAAACTGATATACTATAAATGGTTTCATAGGACCAAGCATTTAGGAGCAAAATACAAGCACAATGTTTAGGAATAAGAGAAAATTTATGATGATAAGGGTATCTTTTAAGATTAAAATGTAACTTTGCTGGGGAAGGAGAATACTGTTTTGGAAAGCTGTATTTATAGTGTTTGAAGATATTTAGAGATTCTAACAGTATGGAAAGTCAAAGAGGTGACAAGGCCAAGAAAACATTTGGTTTTCATTCTTTTTATGTAAATATGTTTATGGTCAACTTAATGATTCTGGCTCATTAGGAAGTTTATTTTGTAATAAAACATGGAGCAGATTCAGCCTGTGCTGACCAAGGAGATTTGCCGCTGCTCCTGCTTCATGGGGAGGGCAGATGCAGATGTCCACCAGTCTGCACCTCCCTCCGTTCTTCCCTCTGTCTTTTCCACATCCCTTGAAGAAGTACCGAGGTCCACTGTCCCTGCTGTGGCTGCGTGTGAGAAAGTGGGCGGTGATGGTGGGAGTCCTCTCCCATGGTTTAAATTTGTCAGGGAAGGGAGCAAAGGGATCCCAGGGATTCCCAGAATGAGTTTTCACATTGAAACAATATTAACTTCAAAGCAGTTAATTTCGAGAGAAATTCCTGTCCAACAAATAGGCCAGTGTGGCTTGTTTTGTGGCCATCATGTTCATGAGTCCCTCCACAGAAGTTTCATACTTTCCCCTTTTTTTAAGTCAGCTCCCTGAGTTTCAAGTCCTTCAAGCTCTGCTGGGTACTTCTGTAGACTATTTTAAGAACCTCACTATCATATAAAATGTTGCTTTTAAAGAATAGTTTCTCTGAGAAAGAAACAATACAAGCAAAGTACAATCTGTCCAGGACCTGGTAAATTGTTTTCCACCTAGGTGCCTAATAAATGTTTGCTGGGCTGGGATTGGAGCTCAGTGGTAGATCACATTCTTAGCAAGTGTGAGTGAGGCCCTGGGTTTAATCCCCAGCATACAATATGGCAAGAAGTAAGAGAAGGGAAAATGAGTACACTTGAAGCACATATTGAATGCTTCTCTAGATAAAGGAATTATGATGATTTTTAATTCTCTTCAGACTTAGCTGAGCTTTTCACATTAACAAAAATTTCCACAACGAACATGTAGTATATTGAATAATATAAAAACTAGCTTTAAAAGTTCACAGTAGGGATAGGCTTTCATCTACACAGGTAGGCAGTGCTTGTTCTATGGCCTTCTACTTCTGAAGGTATCAAGTCAAAGGAGACCCTTAAGAAATCTTTGGTGCCAATCACTGTCTGAGCCTTGAATCTCTTCAGAGTTTAACACGGGTCAATAGTAGAGAGCTTGGTCCATTCAGGGTGGTCTATGCAGATGAGAGAAAGAGAGAGGAGGGAAAGAACAGGGTGTGTTGTACTCAAAGTTCCCCTCATATATAGATACAGACAGAGAGGCATGTGCACACACATTATTTATTTCATCACAGGAGAAGTTTTCAGGCATGGCCTACAAACTCCAGGAAGAGGTTGACTGTATTTGGGTAAATTCAGTAGCAATCCCCCTTCTACTTTAAGAGGGAACATGGTGAGGGGGGTGGAAAAAGTACTCCAAATTTCAGGTTCAAATGTATCTTTGAAATAACAGTAATTATCATTAATAATATAATAATATTTCAAAATTCTATTTACTGATTTCTTACCATGAGTCAAGCACAATGCAAAGTGCCTTACATCATTGCCACCTCATTTTATCTTCCATTTACTTTCACAACAAGCTTGTGAAGAAGGAACTACTAGTTATCAATCCCATCTTACAGATGAGGAAAAAGAGGGAAAGATATCAAACAAGTTACCAATGGGAACAGGGATGGTGGCTGCCAGCCCCTGATTGAAACTCAAATGTGTCTACTCTCCCCTCTTAACCACTCCTTTTCAAGTGGCTACAAAGAATTCGGGTTACAAAGAAAAAATAAACTAGAAAATGTATAATAATAATAATAATAACAAAGAATATCCAAGTTTCATTGCAGGAACAATGTGACACTAGCCCTTCAGGCTGATAAAAAGATGGAAAATGGGAAGACCATTTAAAAAAAAAAAAGCTAATTTCCTAGACATTAATGGGTGATTACTAAGTCATTTCATTAAGCTGAATTATGAATTTGCTTTTCAATTAAGTGTCTCATCACTGCCACTGCTCTGTGTCTCTTTCCACTTCCAACTTCATCTTGACCAAACGTGGGAAACGACTGGGTTTGTGAGTAATCCGCGAGGCCCTGGGAGGACCTTTTGCCTCTATTGTTTTCTTGGGTGTCCTCACTCTGGGTGCCTGACATTCCTCGCGTGTCTAAGGCAATCAAGGAGCAGTGAAGCGCGGGGGAAGCAGCACAAAAGACATCCAAGGCTATCGGTGTAGGGAGATCAATTCAGGGCTCACGTCAAACACCCAGCATGCCAGGAGAGGAGAAAAACACGCTTTTCCAGAGAGTAGGAAATTGGTTGACCTTCTGTGAGATGCCGCAAAGAACTGGACGCATGAAGTGGTGGACCGTGATATTTTTAGACCCCAAACCATCCCCCAGCAGGCGCAGCCCCAGCCCTTGGGTCCTAGGAGGCCAGCAAGGGGAGAAGGGCGCGGGGCTCCGGTCTTGCCTTCCAGCGAAGTGTCCACCCAGTCGCCGGTGCTTCATTCATCATGCAGGCGCCGCAGCTTCGGGGCAGGGTGGAGACGGTCGGTTGGCCCGGCCGAGGAGGCTGGCTGCGCCCGCAGGTCCAGCGTAGCCTGGGAGGGGAGGGGCCGCGCGCAGGCCGAGGATGCCCAGCCTTCTTCCCCCGACTGCTGCCACCAGGCACAGCCGCGCGCTGGACCCGGATCTCCCGCAGAGCTGAGCCCGCGCGGGCTCGCGAGCAGTCCCTCGGCTCCCACGTTACCACCCAAGTGACAGGCCCAGGAAGGCCACAGGGACACAGCTTTGCAGTCCGAGTCTCCTCTCCAGTTGGCCTCCCCGCGCGAGCGCGCGCGCGCGAACACACACAAGCACACGCACACGCACACACGCACACGCACACGCACACGCACACACACACACACACACACACACAAGCACACGCACACACACACACACACACACACACAGATATCCCTCCTGCAGCCCGGCGGCCCCCGAGCCCGCGCCCCAGCCCTGCCTCCCCAGTGCGCCGCGCCCGGGCGGCCTCCGCAGGCCCCTCCCCGGGGGAGGGGAGCAGGACGCGCGCGGGAGCCGGGCGCGGGGAGGGACTGGCGTGGGGGGAGTGTCTGGCTGCCCCCGGGCCTCGAGTGAGTGACTGGGCGAGGAGGTCCCCTCCCTCCCTCCTTCTCGGTCCCCTCCCTCTCTCGCTCCCAGCCAGCTCCCGCTCGCTCCCTGCCCACTCTCGGGGGGACGATCCGTGCCGCGGCCGCCGCGGCCACGGCTTCTTTCACACTTTAGTTGGGAGCTGCGCGCCGCGCTCAGTTACTGGAGAGCTGGCCGCGCGCCGCCGCCTCCTGCACGCACGCACGCGGGCCCGGCTTCGGGGTTTTCTGCTGTTACTCCAAGCAGCTGGGAGGAGGGGGAGACCCGGACACACTGTGGGGAGGAGGAGGAAGAGGAGGAGGAGGGAGGAAGAAAAAAGGCGAGGAGGCAAGGGGCGGGGGGCGGGAGGCTTGCCACCTTCAGCCCCCCCGCGAGCGCCCAAGGTAAGCGGGAGCCATCACCAGCCAGCCTTGGGGCGGGGGGAGTTGTCGCCGCTGCCCGCCCGGGCTTGGCTCCCCCGGCATCCCCGGGTAGGTTGGGAGGGAGGCCTGCGGGGTGTCTGCCGCGCGGAAGGGATGGGAACCGCGGTCGTGGCGCTGCCGGCGCTGTGCCCGGGCTGGGGCTGCTGCTGGTGCGGGGCTGGTGGGGCTGCTGCAAGGGACGGAAGCTTGGGTGGGGGAGCTGCAGGGGGCGTCTGCCTGCCGGGGTGGAGGGGCTGGGATGCGGTTGGGGCTGCTGACGACTTTCGTCACATCGAGGCCTGGGTGGCTGGTGTTAGACACCCCTCCCTTCCCACCCGCACCCCCTGCCGCCCTCAGCCTTCCTGCTCTTCTCTAGCTTTGCCTGTAAGCACTGTACTTTGCACGCCGGAGCTGCAAAGAAAAAACAAAATTTAGATCCTTTGCTAAGTATCCAAGTCCTTCTCTTCGCTCGTACCGACTGATGTGTTTATGTGGGTGGTGGGATTCCGGGGTTCCTGAAGTTTTGACCTTTCCGAGGTGGCTTGTTTCTGTGCATGTTTGCCCTCCTCGGCGTATTTATCATTCGTGCTCATTCGAGCAGCCAGAGGGTGCTTGGTTATTGTGTACGAAACAGATTTCACTCCCCTCTGCAGGCAGTTTGCGAAGTGCGGCCACCGCCGCGGCTGCCTTTGGTCTGCTGGTTAATGCCCTTCCCTATCATCCACCCTGCCCCCCCTCTCTCTACAGAGGGATTTTTTTTCCCTTTCCCTTTCCCCACTTACTGTTTGTGTGAGAGAAGTCCCTGGGCTCAAGGGCTCTCCACCCATTCATTTCTTTTCTAAAGCTGTGAATGGCTCAGGCATCTTGGTAAAAATTGGGGTGGTTTTCTTTGCTCCAAGAGTTGCACGGTCAAAGATAAAAATATACCCACATAAACACGCATTAATCCTGAGAGATGGCAAGCACAGTTTGAGAGAGAAGTGATTTATTTCCAATAGGAAGTTGACAGCCTATGAGGTACCTCCATGCATGTGGGGTAGGAAAATTGTTTTAAAATAGATAGAGCTTATGTTCTCTGGCTGGAAGACAGCCATAAGTTCAGTTATTGGAGCAACTCTGAAAGTGATACGCCCTGATCAACCAGAACCTCAGTGAAGACACTTACTGTGACTCAGACTTGGGAGGGGGCTGACACACCATAGATTCCAAGCAGTACTTTTGTTTTTCTTTTTTCTTGTAGACCATTTGGGGAAATGACAAGTTCATTACACAGACATATGTAGCGAACCTTCCTGTTCAAGGGGATGGGCTCACCTTCTACCTAATGAGAATAACCTTTCATTTTGGTAAATTTGGGATGTACCAGGATGGGAAAAATCATGGGTGGAGAGGGCCTGAGCTACTTCAGCTCCAATGGGGGAAGAAGATGTTTCTGAGGGTCTTTTAGGTCCAAGATGCTGAATTTGGGGTTTTTCTTCCCCTTTTTTTATATTACTAGAGCTGAGTTATAGGATCAGTAAGAACATGTTCTGTATTGGTTGTTTAGAAATGCTGGTGATCAGACATGGAAATGAATTTGGACTTGATCACCTATTTTTGTTTTGCTGCTTATAAAGTAGGAAGTGCTAGTGTGATAGAACAACCCAGTGTATTTATAGGCATTATACTGGTGCTGGGACTAGCACTTCGTGGATCACAAATGCAGCACTGAAATGTAATCTCCCCTAATGTTTCCTGCTTTGCAGACCCAGCAGAGAACTGCTCTAGAGGGCTGCTGGGAAAGTCATGAAGACAAGGGATTGGTGGATGCTGCAGGAGGGGTGAGGTGCCCATGTTGTCTAGATGCCCATCTCATCTGGGGAATAGTTCCCCTCCATTATGGCCTTAGGTGGTAGAGAGGATTCATATCCTCCCGTGTAAAAAGTTCATCCTAAAAGGATGTGATGGTTCTAGCTTCCTTCTTCAGCGCTGACTCAGTTTCACTTTGAGTTGAGAGAACGGATTTCTGTTTTCTAAGCCAGTCAGTAATTCATCCTTCCTCCCCTCCCACCTTATTTTGTTTTACATGGATTTTTGGCCACTGTCAAAGGTGATCTGGGCGTCTTGAAGCAACACAGGGTATAAATCAAGAGTTTGCCCATTAATTCTTGCCATTTGTGGTGGCTGATTAAAACACTGGACCAAGGCATTGTTCGCAGGTTGCTGGGGCCTCTGCACCGGGTTGAATTTGGGATCAGGCAAACTCTTCCATGTTATAGTCATAGCAGCTTGTTCTAGGCCCTTTGAGACCCCCTTCTACTGGATATGTTTTTTTTTTTTTTTTTTATCAGAAAAGACAGCAGCAGGGGCTGGGACAGGGAGTGTTACCATTCCTCCCATCAGAACAGGAGAGAGCAGGAGACTTACTCCCATAGGGTCTGAGTATCCCAGGCTTCATTTGAACCTGTTATATCACTTGCAACCATATGAAGCACCTTTTCTGGCACACACAATTAAATACACAGATTATGAGTCTCTCTTGTTTCCTTCCAGCTCTTCTTTGAGAATGGCCCCAAGGAGAGAATATGACAATTAATTCTGGAGGGAGACTATAGAAGGAGATTGCTGACTAACAGAGAAATAGTCCAAACCTCATTGTCTTCTGATACAGTACTTTGTTTTTCTCCAGCTTGTTAGAACTAAACAGAAGGGGGCGGGTGGCATTGCTTTTGGGTGTCTTCAGTGTATCTTCCCTCTTGCTGTTTTGCTGACATCTCAGATTGTGGGCACTGCTTGTTTTAAATGGCTTAAACTGTTTAATTCTGGACCTCCCCACGGTGGAATGAAATCAGACTCATCAGAGAGTTAGAGATGAGGAGAGCAGCACTCCAGTGAGCCCTCTGCATGGTACATTGCTGCCTATCAGTTGGAAGTGAAGATGGGACTTAAAATACCAGTTTACATGAAAATAGTTTAGATATAAAAATTGATATACCCCCACCTTTCAGGAATATATTGACTATGTAAATCAACTCACATACCTTACAAATAGGAATTCACTCAGATATTTCATGAAACTTAGGTTCATGAAAATGCAGAAATCTTGAAAACATTATTTTGGAAATGGATCTAATGAAGGTTCCCAAGGTGAATGGAGGGCTACAGGAGACTGTGTTGGTGTGTTTATTAATGTTTTTAGCAAATCAATGCATTTTTTGTTATTTCATAGTTCTTCTTTGAGCTTCAATTTTAAAACCCCATAGCATAGGGGAAGAAAAGTTGTGTTTAAATAGATTCTTGTTGAAACATGGGAAGCAAGTTGCAATAGATAGTATAAAATACTGCTTAGAAAACTTCAAACCAAGACTTGAGTGCAGGAAAAATTGAGACAGTGAAACTCTATTTTTCAAAATGGTGACAGTTTGACTTTCAGATATCATAATTCAAGAGCTTATCTGAAGTGGCATGTAAATTATATATATTCATATTTTAAAGTAGGCAATTATTTAGCTTGACTATTTCAGTTCTGAAGTTTAATTTTACAAGTTACAGTTGCAACAAGAAGCAACATGACATGATGTAGTTATGCAATTAGGACAGGAGTTGTTGGACGGCCGCTGGGCCCGGAGAGACATAGGCATGAACACACATAGTGTCTGCAGTCGCCAGGTTTTAAGAAGTTTCCTTACTTTCTTATTTAGTATGTTGCTGGAAAATGCATGTCCTAGGTTGTGGGCTGGTCCCATAATGTGAGGTTGCTTTCTCCTTTCATGTATAGAAGGACATGTCACTGCCCCTGTCTGAAACCGAAGCTGAGAAGCCTGATGAGCCAGGCTGCTGGAGGGCGGGGTGGATGGTCTCCTTCATCTCAGCAGCCCCCCCAGCAGCTGGCACACAGCTCTGCACTTGGAAGTCACTGGGCGAGTGATCAAATTGAAGGAATTAACCTAATTAGTTAAGATCTGTAATGTGTCAAAACCTTGGAGACATACATTAGATGCAGACATAAATTTTAATAAACCTGTGTGATGGTTTATTAAGAGTTCCCTATTATGCCTCAGGTAGGGTTTTTCTTTTAATGTTGAAACATATTTGACAAGTAAACACATCAAATGTGATGTTCTGTCAGATAACTGGAATTCCTAGTGGGGGGGGGCGTCTTCACTTGGAATAGACACAATTTCCCTATTTGACGAATACTCATTTCCTCATGATAGTGGCTTGGCCTTGTTTGTAGGAGGGTTCGGCAATAACAGTGCCTCCTACTTAGCGTGCCTTATGGTTTTCAAGGTCCTGTCTCATCTGACACTTGACTGCAGTCATAGCATTCAGGGTTTTCCATGCTGGGGTCTCTCTTGAGTGCCTGGATCAAGGAGTGGTGGAGACATACCGGAAAGCTCAGGTAGCCCCAGCTCTTGATTTATTACACTCACTGCTGCTGCCTCTCAAGGAACTTGGAAGAAGGAAAAGTGGAGCCCTGCCTTGGTTCATGGAGCTCCCCCAGGCTCCCAGCACCCTGTGGTTCTCTTGGAAATCTCTCCCCTCCCTTGGGCTGACTTGACCTCTTGGTCCTGCCCAACATCCCTTCCACCTTCCTCTTCTTTCTGAAGCTTTTTCATTTCTGCATATTTCCATCCCTAAATCCCTCCTGCTTCTTACCCCGCCACCATACTTGAGCCTGCAAGAGGCGAGTCTTCGGTGCCCCAGGAGCTGTTCAGGCATTTCAACCCCTTCTCCAGAGTCACTTTCTCTGGGACTCCGCCCACCTGTTTGTCCAACCCCAGACTTCCTGCTCCCAGCCTGCATCTCCCTTCTGCCCTGGGGCCCCTCGGCTGCTGTCCTACTTTGCCCCACGCCTCCTCCCCTGTTCCTCCCACCCACTTCTCCCCGTCCAGCCTCAGATCTTGCAGCGCTTACCTGCCTCTGCCTGTCTCCCAGGCTCCCGCCATCTGAGCAGATGTGTTTATGGCATTCACGAATTGACAGCCGCATACTTCACGCCTTGTTGGGGGTGGGGATCAGAGCACCCTCCAGCTTAGGGATCTTTGTGTCTTTGTTTTCACTTTTGATTCTCCTGTGTTATATTGTTGACTTTTTAAGCCTCTTAAGCCATTTAATAATAGCCGAAGTACTTTGGTTCTTCACTTAGCTCTTACATCCTCTGTTGGAGGATAGATAAAGGAAATATCTTGATGATTATTGTTATTTTTAAAGATTTGGGACAACAAATCTTGGAAAGCGTTTCTGAGCTTTTCATAATAGCACTCTTCCCAAAGCTGCTATTGCATGCCAGATTCTCCTTGCTAATCACTCAAGTGGAACGGTATATTTAGTATCATCTTCTTTACCCTTTTCTCCCCAGTTAGTTAGATAAATATGACTGTAACTTGAATCACGTTTTCTCCCCCTTCATTGTTGTGGTTTTACTGCTGTTCATGAAAATTTTGTAAAGCTCACAAGGGCACACTTAATGCCAAGTAAAGATTCTTTGGCTAAGACCTAACTTTGTTGATTTCTCCTGTAAGTTTGTAGCCTATGTTGAGTTTATTAGTAAGGTTAGTGGGGGAGGGGGGAGTGGTAAACTGAGGATTACTACTGGAAAAACATACCTCATTAACTTATCGTGTGTGAATGTGGATTGGTCTTTTTAGAAAATTGCACTTGAAAAAGTAGATGTAACGCAAATTGTGCAATATCCTGAGTGCTGTAGGGCTTTTGGAAGAAGGCGCTTTAGGTAAAGCAGGGAGATGATTGTAGTGAAGTAAGACTTCCCTTTCTTTTTCTCTCTCTGTATCACTGAGCTATAGCCCTAGTCCTTTTTTTTTTTTTTTTTTTTTTTTAGAAAGGGCCTTCATAAATTACTAAGGCTGGCCTCTAATTTATAAGCCTCCTGCCTCAGCCTGCCTCCCCAGTCACTGGGATTATAGGCAAGTGCCACTGAACCTTGCTGAATTCTGGTTGTTTTTTTTTTAATGAAGCTG